AATATTTTTTGTCCAGGATAGCAGAGCATAAAGACCAGACACGGTAATGTTCAGGATCAGGTTAACAGGAAAGGAAATGATCTCCCATGGGCAAAGATAAAATTAGGACATTTGAATATAGCTCTTCAAAATACAGCTTGGCACTGAGTGGACCTGGTATTCTATAAATCATTCCATAAGATACCTCATTCTGTAGACAAGTCAAGATTTATAGGCAAATTTTATCATAAGAAGTGTGTCAACGAAGGATTTAAAATTGTGTTTCTGAGATATTACTCTTCCTTGTTTATTGGTAATGCATTTTGACTGAAAGTTAAATAAATGAGAAAAAAGCTTCACATCTCCCTCTGCCATCATTATCACACTGCAGAGAAGTCAGGAGAAGCAGACTTCCTGTTCGGTAAAGAGCTTTCCATTTATTGGGATGTAATATGGAACTATGGTGACGTGAGGCCATGCATGACATTTTACAAAGCAAAAGGCACTATTAACAGGCTGCAAATAATTCCACAACAAATATATGAGAAGTAATAGAATAGAATCATATATAGACACACATAGGGCTCTAACATTGGTTCATTCTAGAATTTGCTTTTAAAGCATATTGGAAAACTACATTTAGCAGATGGAAAGCTTTCTAAAGTTTCTAACAAGGTGAAAGACAATTAACACAAATACAGTAATGAAACTATACTCTAAAGGCCTGAAGGCAAGAAACTAAGTCTCAAAAAAGGAGAAGAAAATATCTTGAAAAAACAAACATGCAGCTGAGTACTGGAGAAAACTAGGAAAGGGAAGACTTGCAACTTAACGGTGTGCTGCTTTAAAGACTTCACAACAGAGGGTCCAATGGGATGACTGAGTGCATTTAACGGTAAGGCCACAGAATCACAGTTAAGGACGACTGTAAGCATTCAGCTGTATAGCTTTTCCTGTTGGCTTTTTTTAAAGCGGCTTTTTAAAAAGATACCTGAAGTCTTATCGCATTATAGTCCCTCTTTTAAAAAAGAACATAACATATTGCTTAATACAACAGTTGAAACAGCAAAGAAGGATCATTCGTAAAGAAATAGTGATTGTGAAATGATATTCACAGGAGACTTTCAAACATTTGATGGATATGCAAAAGCAAACTAGCCACAGTTAATCTGAAAACAGGCTGGCAAAAGATTTTCTTAAGTTTCGGATGGTTTCAGCTTTTGTTTCATCCTCATTCACAGATGATCGGAAGAAGGATGACTCCGTGAAGTTGAAGGCATTTGTCAGAGATTGTGATTTGCTGCAAGACAGAGACAAAAACTCACACATGAATATTACATACATCTGAAGCTTTCATACAGATTTTCTTTTCTTATTTGTGACTGATGTAGCCCCTACCTTTCAAAATTCAATTTATATTACATATAATATGAATAGGAAATACAACCGGCAACATCCAGATGGCATTCTTTGAATAGATGAGCACAACTGTGAGAAATGGTTGTCTTTTTTTTAAAAAAAAAGTTTTTATTTTTATTTTTAGAAACAGTTGTCTGATACACATCAAAACTCAGAGGTGTCTCCATTCCTGGTAGACAGCCTTTTCTGTAATATTTCCCACTGGAGATTATACTTTCCCAAAACCATTGTCTTTCTGTAAGGAACTAAAATTTGGTTCTGTTACAGAGCCTAAGATAAATGATTAAGCTTGTATTGTAGTTGCATTAATTGTGTTGTTTGGCTTCAACTTGGCTTTTGTAATTGTTATTTATTGTTTACTTATGAAGTTTTGATATTGATGTTACTCCCTGTTAGCTTAACCTAGCTGGTTAAAATAGACAGCCATATCAATTTAATTGATAATAAATAAAGACAGGTAAGTTGGAGTGGGCTGAATGGAAGGAAGCAAATAGTTGAATGGTAGAAAATATTTTTTAAACCCTATACGTTTAAAGTATACTTTTTTAAAAAAAGGAAAATTGTATCTGCTTGTGTTTTTATATTATGCTTTATGACAGATCAATCATTTTCTTTTCCAGAAAACATACCTTTTCCAGAAAACATTAAACTTTTTAAAGAAAAGTCTTGCCCCTTTTCCAGAAAAACAAAATCACCACCACCCGGGCTTTCCAGGAAAAAAAAACTTACCTCCTTTCCAGAAAATCTTATACCTTTTCCAGAAAAAAAAAACCCTTACTCCTTTTCTGGGGGGGGGGGTTGGGGGGGAATCTTATACCTTTTCCAGAAAATCAGAGTGAGCAATATTGCAAGTGTGTACAGTCTTTCATTTTCACTGCATTTGGGTTTAATAGTCATTGAGCATGGAGGGGTGGAAAGATAAATGTTCTTTATTTGATTAGGAATTGAATGGCTTAATGATTAGGAATTGAATGGCTTAATGAAATATTTATGCATAGGCTACTAACCTGCATGCACATGTTAAGCCAGAGAAGATGTGGGTGAGAATGCAATCACTGAGTACAGTTAATCCCATTGGCAATTTGGTTATGCTTTTTTTTTCCTTTGTAAGATTTGGAAGTGGGGTGATTGAAATGTGGATTGGAACAAATCTGTAACTTGATATACGAGCCATCCAGGATGCTTTAAAACTAAGCGTATAGAGTTTTCAAATATTAAGGAATAGCCCTTAAGAAGTCCTGAACTTGAAAAAAAATTGTTTAGGACTGGAATAAGCAGTGAATTGGGGGGAAACGTTTACATTTGAATAAAAGGAAAGGCAAAATCTCCCCCAAGTTGAGCTCAACTGCAGATGACTACATACGGATTTTTGTGTTGCTTTCTAACCAATGATATGGAAGTGATTCATCATTAAATTCTTCCAAAATATGTTTTTCAACATTCTGCTCTGGTCCATGAGCTTGAAATATTTTTTCTGGTCTCCTATCTAAATAGTAACTAGATTTACCCTTGCTAAGCTTTTTTTGAAATCAGCCAAGGCTTGCTTCTTATACTTCTGAATAAGAGCATCACAAAAGGAGTAAATAAAATATTAGGGCTGTTTGCATTGCACAAATGTATTGCCTTTGAAATTTAAGATATCTGAAACACTGTGATGGAGAAGATGGATTTATTGAAACACACTTACTTATAATTATTGTAATCTTCCTGGTCAGTGTTATTTTTCAATAGACCTCCAAAACTGTGTATGGTGAGGTGTGAGCTGCTGAGTGGAAAAGAGCACAAGAAATGTGCACTTTTTACAAACCTCTAAAAATTAACATATTTAGGCATCTAAGCCATTTTGACTCCAGTCATTAGCAGGGGGAGAAATATTAACCGTGAATATCTGCTGAATTTTTAAAATAAAAAAAAACTAGAGATGGAAACCTACATCAGTACAGAAAATATCTCTTGATGTTGTCTTATCTATTTATCTATCTATTTATCTATTTATTTGATTAAATACCACCTGAACACAAATGAAAGGCGTCATACATTATGCTCCCTCTTTCAAATTCCCCTGTGAGGTTGGTTGGGTTGAGCAACAATGACTTGCCTAAAGTCAGCTGGTGAGCTGCTGTGGCTGAAGGTGGATTTGAACTCAAGTTTCCCCACTTCTAATCCAAAACCTTCACCACTACCCCACACTGATCCATTTAGTTTGTTTAAAATTAAATGAGTTTTACATTTCTATTTCTTCTGGGGAAGGTATATGGTGGAAATAATAAAAATGAGTAGTGAACTGAACTTTTCTTTTACATGCATAACTAAATATAATAGATTTAAGGCCATTTATTGATTTATCACATTTGTCTGCCCTGTGTGTGTGTTTTTTAAAAATCTTTACCTTCTTTCACCTTTACAGCAAAAACGAATTATGTAAGCCTTAAGATTAAGTCTGTAAACTATCAGACAAAATTTTGGCAAGTAGAGTATCCTGGCATTTTACCATCCTTTGTTACAGTCATGCATGTTGATAATGAAGGGAGTAGGAAATCTTTCTATCTCTAAATTGTTAAGCAGTATACCTTAGGTATTTGAATATTTGAATTTGAATATGTGAAACAGAAATGAAATGTGGTATATTAACCTTCACAGCAGTTTTCAGTACACCAAGAAGATATATAGAGTAAGTAAATGGCCATCTTCAGCCATACTTTAATATGATGAGTTTGACAAAAATTAAAATCAAAGATACAGTTAGAGTATGTTATATCTAATAAACCAAATACAGAGTATGAAAATGAGCTCCATCGCATAGAAGTGGCCCTAGAAGAAGCCTTAAGCATAAGATGTAATAGGTAGGTAATGATAGAACCAATGTTCTATCTATCTCTAGTTTTAATGGGAAACATCTTTTGACATTCTCTGGGTTTTCCAATCTTTCTTGTCTGAGTGGCTGCAAGGTTAAAAGTTTAAGGAGATAAGGTTTTTTTCCTCTCTCTCTCTCTCTCTCTCTCTCTCTCTCTCTCTCTCTCTCTCTCCCCTCTCTCTTTCTCACTAGCTGTCTCATAAACAGCCCAACCAAAGATGAATCAACACCTTCTGAAATGTTGGAAAGAGAGGGATGACTCAAACTCAAATCTATAGATACTACATGGAATTTGCTTTTTTCAGCAGATTTGAGAATGTCTGTTGGAAATGTACCCACTCCAGGTGAAACAGAAACAAAACTGTTACAGAAATAAAGGAATCTTGTACTTCTTTATCTGTACTCCAACCTCTCTTGGTAAGAGAAGCATTTACAAAACAAGAGGAGAAAATGACAAGAATGCCTTACTTTAGCTGAGGATGTGACTGAGGCTTCTGGGACGAGTCTTGCGAGGGCTCGGTCTTCATGTCTACTGGAGGCCCAGTACTTGAAGGACCTGAGGCCTGGGCACGGGCACGGGATGGCTGAATCGCAGGGCCAGGTGGACGTGGAGGCAGAGAACTGGAGGGCTTTCCTGAATGCCCCGGAGGGAACCCTTGGGGTGGCTCCTGGCTTTGTGATTGCATTCCTTGGGGTTGCACTGGGCCCCCTAGGTTCAGCACAAGAAAAACTTCATAATGCATCAATAATTTTGTAATAACTCTTAACAACCAACACTTAATATCAGTCTGGTACTAGAAAAGTTCGGTGGGGTTAGAATGCTTTAGCTATCATGATCATGAATTACAACCCTACATAAATATAAATTGCAAATCTTCATAGCCACACTAAAACAGCCTTTGAAAATTCACTGCTTTAGTAATTGGACCTGTTTTTTTAAGGAAATCAACAAAATACAAATAGTCCTCCTTTAGCAACTGCAAGTGGGACCAGCACCTCAATCATCAAACAAAGCAATTCCTAAGTGAAACCACAAATGTACTTATGAACTTATTTCAGTTTTTCTTTGCTTTATATACCTGGAAAAGCCATAAATGCAAAGATTGGTTTCAAAGTTACTTTTGAATCAGTCTTGTAACTGCAAATGGTCATTAAACAAGAAGTAGCTAAATGAGGATTACTTGCATTAAATATTGCTGGGAGAGGGGCAGCTTAAGGCTCCTTAATAGTGCTGTATGTGATAGCAGAAATCTTTATGGCTGATATCAAGAGTGGCTGGCAGGAAATGTACGCACTCTTAAGCTAATGCCAGACAGACATAGTGAACTATCATTCCCATCACCCCTGGGGAACCTATCACATTGAGAGGAATGATGGGACTTGAAGTCTAAAGCATCTGGAAGGTATCAGGTTGGATAAGGCTGGGCCAGATTAAGCTGCATTAATTATAGTACTTCTCCATTTCAGTTCTCAGGTTCCTGATAGGTAAAACATTTTCCCAGATTGCTCCATTACAGACTGAACACAATGGAAGTTAACAGCCAGAAGGAATCTGTTTGCTTTAAATGTATCACAGCACTGTTGTTTATTAATAATATTGATTCAAATTAGTTGCCTTTTTGTTTTGCCTTAAATGGGAGGGGAGGGTTGATATGTTTTTTTAAAATGTCTCATACATTTGCAGTTGCTTTTCAATAAGCCCTTCTGTGAAAAACAAAACAGGCATCTACTTGAGCCAACCAATAAGCAATTAACATACTCAGACCTTGCAACATCAACCCTAAAGCAGTTCCATATTTTGTAAGCAATAGCTAATCAAAACTGAGTTGTAGATTCAGCTGCAGTTGGTGCAGTTTTTTTCCAGTGCAAACCCCACCCTCCTCTTTCTCCTTAGTGTATGGTTGTTCTGCTTCTATAAACAGTGAAGACAATGGATTTCAGTACTGTTAAATATGCATCCGATTTAAGGCAGTCAACTTGGATTGGACCTATGAAGCCTTAGTGGAGATTGAAGAGTCTTTGATGCCTGATCTTAAAATGTATCATTCCAACAAATGCTTTCTTTGGAGAACTTGCTTTCAGAATTGTACCAGAACACAATACTATACCAGCATAGCCATCACAGAGTTTTTTAGCCAAAATATTGTAGCCTTAATCTCTTGAAATGAATTATGTGAGTCCAAAGGGTTTAGAATTGTTTTTTCTTGAAGACTTCCCCCACCACATTAAAAAAATCAAATCTGAAAAGATTCTCCCAAGCATTACACAAAACTTCATAGAGATCTCTAAGTGGTCTCTTCTCCATTTAGTTCAGGGGATAGAGAGATGTCTGGGCATCCAGAGAGATGTAAGCCAAGAACTTTAATGAAGTGATGGCTAGGCACATTCATGGAAAAAAAAATCCATGCATGCTGAAGAACACACACAATACTCTGGATAGGAAAAGGTTATTATTTTTGCATATCACAGACATTAATATATATAACATGTTTTCCCACTTTGTACAAAATGGGCAAATGTCACACAATTTGTGAAATCAACTCAGCTGCTTTATCAGTCTGTTAGAATAATTTTGCATCATTGCTCAAGGATGATACTTTCAAGTTGAAAAATACAACCCCAAATCACTCCTTCAGAATTCTATGCCTTTGTTAATACTAGGGAAACTGTACATGTGTTCTTTTAACTAGGCCTAGGAAAAATTTGGAAGCCTTCAAATTCTTTTTCTTTATCATGTCAAACTGTCCAAAATCCCAATGTCTCTGAAAAAAAGCCATTAGGCCTATTTAGCTAATTAAGAGAATTAATGAGGCAGGAATATGCAGATGAAGCAGAATTGATACCATGCTTTCAACAACGACCATTTAAAAATACAAAGTACAGAAACTCAATTTTTAAAGTAAATTGTTGTGTGAGAATTTGTATTTTTTCTTTCAAATCCTGAATGCATAAATGGGCTTATTTCAGAAACGTTCCAATTATATTTACATTCTTCATAATAACAAAATAGGTTTTTAGATAATTATCCACATGTTAGAAATTTGGAACAATTCATTCTTGGTGCATTTCTTAAAACACCACAGTTAGTTATATAATCTTGTTCATTATTTGCAAAATGTGCAGCAGCAGAAGAATTACATCTATTCCTTCCCTAATTTATTTTCCCCATCCCAATAGACGTACATGTGACCGGAGAACTTGCAAAAAGTTATATGCATAAATGTCTGTTCATAACCTTCACTGGATTTCTGCAAGTCACAGGTAGATGCAGAAGTGATCCTAGTCCATCATGTTATTAACTGCATGTCCCTTGAACAGGATCATTGTGTTTACAGTATCTAAAGATGGTCAGAAGCCTTGCGATTTAATCATAGCCGACTGAGGGATTCTGAATTTCAATTGCATTTTTTTAATGCTAAAAAGCCCATACTTTTCTTGCTTATTCTTTGCTGTATATAAAAGGATTTTTCCCCCTTGGGAAAATCGTGTGCTAGAAACTACACTGAAGACAGATGTAACTTTTTTTTATTGGACATTAAGCTGTACAAAGTATTTCACAAAATATATACTGCAGTCACACTTCAGCATTTGCTCACTTTCTTGCATTAGTTTGGTACAAAAAGATAGCAATAATTATAATAATAATAGCAGCTTTGACAGAAAGAAATTAAAAAAAGGAAAAATAAAGCAAATCACCCCTCCCCCAGACATTGATCCTACATTTTAAAATACCATTTCCCAACTCTCCACAATATTGCACTTGAGCATGCTAGCATGCAGGTAAACATATTGGCTTGCTTCTTTACTGTTGAGCCAGTAAACTAGTGCATGTCCTTCTACGACCATCTGCATCAAATGCACTGACATTTTGCTAAGATGCAAATCTTTTATCTGTGGTCAGTACACATACACACACTTCATACACACAGAGAGAGCCTATAAACAATGCACAAAAGCATCTTTAATTACTCAAACTATCACATGCAGAAGAACATCCATGGCTTGATATTAATGGCATTCAGTTGGCAGGTTCATTTTTTCCCCACTCCAGAATGGAATGCTGTTTTTATTCTCTTGGGTTAAGATCTGGAGGTGAGGAAGACAATGAACCTGATGTGAAGGGAATACACTCCCCTATAACCAATCCCTCAGTGTGGTTATCAAAAGATCATTATTAGAAACGAAGGTCACACAAACAGAATATACTTGTTTATAGACTAAAAATGAGTAGGGAACAAGAGCATGCGCAGTAAACATCAAAACTACCATTAAAAACAATGTGTAATTCTCACATCTTGAATTTTTTTAAAAAAATGTTTGCAATTCTAGAGTGTTTGCAAAGGAAAAAAAAATCAGACTTCAGCATTATGTCATAAGAAAACATATTTGTTTGTATTAACCTAGGGATTACTATTGACCTTATTATTTGTCTTCAATTGACAACATAATTCATTCCCTCACTTCTACAGAATGCTTAAGAGGTGCATTTGAGTGACTACTATAACAGCTTAACTGCCTGCCTGGATATTGCTTGTAAGGTATGCACACAGCCCCTGGTGTCGTGACAGTCATAAGCAATTATGGCTATAAGAAAGTTTAGCAAAAGAACACCCCTCCCCATCTAGGTCAGGTACCCTTGTTTTATTATTTACATATACTTGAGTCCCATGTACTACATTCTATGGCTAAGCTTTTGACTCTTATGGGCATTCAAGATCCACTAACATTCTTTTCCTACTGTACTTAGCTATTTAAGCTTAAAATGCTAGATTGGATCATAGTTGCATTTTAGTGTATCCTATTCGCTTGGCCATAATCATAATAAATACAGAATGATATAGCAACACATTGAGTTCATGAATGACATTTAAAAAAAACCCTGAAAAGGGTGGATAGCATAATATTTAGAAAGAAAGGTGCTGATTAATTGCAGAAGGCTTTTCTTCTTTTTTTTTGCTAACTATTTTAGCTAAAGAACCGTAGCTTACCTGAATTATGTAGATAAGGTAATTCTAGTAAACATTTTTTTTAGTTTGGTAGAAAACCAGATGGCTACTTCATAACCAACAAAGAAACTCCCCTTTTGAACTTAAATACATTCAATATCAAATTTGAATCAATATTGCACATATGTGGCCCATTTTTGTAGCACTGAAGCTAGTAGATACAGATTTTTCCCTAAAAACTCTGCACTGAAAATAGAAGATATTTATGCATTCCTGGAAATAATTATTTTATATTTTGTATGTAAACATTACAAATAAAAATACTAGTTTTTCAATTTATGTATATGTCTTAACTCAAAATTAAGCAATCTTTATAAAATTATAAAAAGAAAATGTCTCATTTAATATATTATTACTAAATGAGACTTTTCAAATATTATAATCACTTTTCAATAATCATGCACATTAAAAAAAATTCCAAATCAAATGTAGCATACATACTCACAGAGTTAAGCAAAAATATTATATCTCAGCCAGGGTTGGTTAGCCTTTTTTTTAAACCCACAATATAGAATACTTCAAAAATACTGTCTAACCATCCATAATATACAGTCTCACTGACTTAGTAGAGGCACAATTCTTGTACACTGTACACTGTGGACAACAGCCCTGAATCACAAGTTATACAGAGAAACATAAGTAAGCATTACAACACAAACAGATAAACAACCAGACAATATATTTGACACTGCATAGAAAAAACACAATCCAGGTCAGCAATGAAACAATGAAAAAAAAAAAAAACCTGCACGAACAATTGGTATTGTTGATTTCTTTCTTTTTTCTTTTTTTCCTCTTTTGGCTTTAACCCCTGTTTTAAATTTCAAAAATTTAAGTCGCCTGGACTTGTTTTGGTCCTACTGCAATGCCATTACAGTCGAGAATGTATTGTAAACAACCTTGAGGAGGTGGTCGCTGGGATGGGACTTTATTTGATTCAGACTCCTTAGCTGATCCACTCTGCAAGATAAAAAAAAAGGGAAAAAAACCATAGAGATGAGAGTGCAAGAAGGCTAGAAGGTGATGAGGATAGACTGAGAAATATACCTTTGGTTGTTAGAACTGATCTCTTCTTACCACCTTAAAAAATTCCCTGAATGCCAGAATAGAAATGACTCTTGGTGCATCATTAGGAAGCCCAGTGAAGGGAGTGCAAAAAGACAGAGATTTCACTGGAACTGCAGGACATAGAAAGAGGGAAATTATGTTTTCCTCTCCTGTAGTGTTCATAAAATAAACTCATGTTATCCCCCGCCCCCCACCGCCAAAAAGCTCATATTGCCACAAAAAAGACCTTTTCTACTGCAAGAGAAATTTAAATACTGTATATATTTTTGGGTAAGAACATCCAGCAAAAATGATTTTTAATGTCATTGTAAATGTCCCATTAAAAAGACATAGTAACAATAAATGTATTGACATTTATAGCTTATAGAATACGAAATGCAAGGTTGAAAATACAAAGGAGACAGATTATTCTCACTTAACAGAAGCATTTCTACTGAAATTGGGTATTTTTTTTAAATGATTGGGTACAGAGGATTGACGATGCAGGCCTCAGAACATTGAAAATCAATAAGGGTCTGCCATATTTGTAAAAGTTCTCTACAAGTTAAGAGTAAGCAGCAGGGTCAAAACTTTATTACTTTTGTCTGGTGACTGTTGAGAGCAGCTTAGTTGCTGCATCATGGGTAATGATGGATTTGTCATTATCTTAGTTCAGTGGTTCCCAAACTTGGCAACTTTAAGACTTTTGGACTTCAACTCCCAGAAGCAGAGCTGGCTGGAGAATTCTGGGAGTTGAAGTCCACAAGTCTTAAAGTTGCCAAGTTTGAGAACCACTGTCTTAGTTTAAGTGAACAGATTTTTTTTCCAGTTAATGAAACTAGTCATTTGTTGGCTACGGAGGTTCTGACTTTGACCGTGATTGGTGGCCTGTGGACCGTGAACTGTGATTAAAAAGGTACTGGTGAAATCTGTACCAACCCAAGAGATCTATGGTCAAGGCTTAATATAGTCCATCTCAAAGGAAATGCCTTTGCCTTAAATTAGGCTTCCCATTATGACCGCTCATATTTCCTGTTCACCTCGTTTCCTCAAATATATCTTTGTTTAAGCATTTTGTAATCTTAATAACCCTTGCACACTTTCCTACGGATGCACTTGTTGCTCATTGAACAGTAGAATTTGAAACTATAAATAAAACTATTTAATTCCCTCTATTCCATTTGGAAGAGTGTACTATCTTAAAGAAAGTAACTCCCTAATGGCTTTCCCTAGCTACCATGAACATGTAAACATCTTTTTCTTTCTTAATTGTTTACCTGTTGTAGATAAACTGTAACATCTTTTTTCTAACTTTTACATTTGCATTTTTGAATATACTCTAGGTACTACTACTAAATAAGGACTAGGGAAGACATGATAGCAGTGTTTTAATATATCAGGGGTTGCCACAAAGAAGAGGGAGTCAAACTATTCTCCAAGGCACCTGAAGGTAGAACAAGAAGCAATGGGTGGAAACTAATAAAGGAGAGAAGCAACTTAGAAATGAGGAAAAATTTCCTGACAGAGAGAACAATTAATCAGTGGAACAGCTTGCCTCCAGAAGTTGTGAATGCCCCAACACTGGAAGTCTTTAAGAAGATGTTGGATAGCCATTTGTCTGAAACGGTATAGGGTTTCTTGCCTAAGTCTGGGGTTGGACTAGAAGACCTCCAAGGTCCCTTCCAACTCTGCTATTGTATTATTGTATTAAAGTATGTAGCTCTCTTCTAGTCATCTGTATTCCTTAGATATTTCTCCTTAGAAGTTTGCTTTGTTTTAAGGTAGAGGAAATTCAAAGGGAATTCTTTGATCCTTTCTTGCTTCTGATATGAGCATGTAGAGGTAATATTACAGTAGGAGGGGGCAAATCTGAAGCTTCAGAATTATAAGAAGCTCTCAAACATTATTTTAGTATTCTCCAATGCCTCTCTGAACATAAATTCTGAAAGTCTACAGCATGGCTTATTGCACTTTTGCGTCAGAAAACATTAAAAAAAACTTCAAGAAGTTATATGTCTTAAAGTAAGCGTAACATATCGTACTTAGAAAACCCAAAACACCCCCTACAAAGTTTATCCAAAGAAAGTCATAGAAAAAACTCCCAAAGAGTTCTAAGCTTATCTACATAATTCATGAAAGCCTGTTCATTTCTTGTTATTTCATTAATTCATTTTACTTACTAAGATACAACAGCCGTCACTCTCCCGACAAAAATATTCAGTAATCTTAACCATCTCTGCATAAGAAAAGTACTGCCTTTAGACATTTCTCAGGTGTCCAAAGATCATACACAAATAATCAAGAATTGATTGAAATGCATACTATGAGATGACCATTGTTCTGTAACAATGAAAAGCTAAACATCTAGAAAAAGTGCTTTTATATAAAGTTCAGCAATAACAAAATATTGAACTATTACTAAATAACAACATCTCCATCTGCTGGTGCAGAAACCAACAAACACTAAGTTGGATAATTGCCACATGCTAAGTATTCAACAATAGTTTTTACTTCTATTCTTTGACGGTGTAATTCTTTCAATGTGTTTTGGCTTCTGATAATTTTTTTTAATCAAATACAAAAATCTCCAGCTTTGTAAGTAAGTATAAAGCTGGGATCCACAACATAAGCCTAAGGGCACCAGTGTGCCCAGAGAAGTTTCTCTTGTGCCCTCATGGTTCACTGCTCACCTGACATTTTGTTTTGGAACTGATCACACCAACTTAACAGCTATTTTTGAGTAGACAAACTTTCCTAGGGCAGCTTCCAGTGCTCATGACTTCCTGCTAAATTCCAAATTGGCACATACTCTTATATTACACATATGCTACTCCTTCTTGAAGGTCCTTTTCATTTCAGGTTTGGGGGACTCCTGCTATAAACACTGCCTAACTTTCTGACTTTTCCATCCAGCATTTTCTTTCTTTCTTTCTTTCTTTCTTTCTTTCTTTCTTTCTTTCTTTCTTTCTTTCTTTCTTCCCTCCTGCAAGCTTTGGAAGAATACTTTTTCCAATGTATTACCAGTTCAATTTATTACCAGTAATATGTGGCTTAAATAGCTTATTCTCTTTTTCTGGATATTCTATGAGAAGAGTCCTTAGAAATTCAAAACCTTACAAACTTCTGATAAACTTTCAGCTCACTTAACAAAAGTATTAATTTAATTTGAATTTTCTTTCTTTCTCATAGTCAGTACATTTTGATTTTCAGAGAAAGGAGGATAATTGTTTTTGCATAATCTGGTGTATCTGTGATCTTCACTTTTATTTTAGTGATGTTCTCTTTGTTGGGGAATTTGATAAAAATGTTTTAATGTTGTTATCATCTTTTCTAATCAAACAGTTTTCCATAAGGATGAGAACCCCACAAAGAAAAGGATTCTCCTCTTCCGCATCATTTTCCCACATGAATGCAAAAGGTAGCAGGCCTTAAAAAGTCCATATATTCCAGTATACTCGGAAAGGTAACCAACAAAAAAATGTGAGTGATGCTTGTAGCCCTTATACAATTTCTTTTTTTAGTTCTAACTGTATCAGTTTTTTATGCTGTCCAGTGTTTTCAATGCTTTGGGGTAGCGTGCAGGCCTTCTATGATCAAAAATAAAAGGATACTTTAATCCTTGAATCACATGTTTAGATAATAAATTTAGAATGTTAATATCATTAGTTCAAGGCTAAATAATAATAGTAATAATTATATCTATCATTTTACATTTTATACTTGGATAACATTAGATTAGGAACACAAGTTAAAATAGTGAAGAAAATGGTAACCTGTCTGCCCTAGACAAGTTCAAATCATCAGGATCAGATGGATTATATCCCAAGGTTCTGAAGGAACTAGCAGATGAGATCTCAGAACCACTGAGCTATATTTTCCAAAGGTCCTAGAGCACCAGGGAACTGGCAGAGGACTGGAAAACAGCTGATGTAGTTCCCATCTTCAAAAAAGGAAACAAAAAATAGATCCAGGAAACTATCTATCAGCCTAACCTCAATAGTAGGGAAGATGCTGGAAAAGATAATCAAGCAACAAATCAGCGAAAACCTAGAAGCAAACAAAGTAATAACCAAAAGCCAACATGGGTTTGTCATGCCAAACTAATCTTATTGATTTCTTTGATAAAGTGACAAAATTAGTGAACCAGAGGAATGCTGTCTATATAATTTACTTGGACTTCAGTAATGCATTTGACGAAGTAGACCATAACTTACTACTAGATAAAATAGGAAAATGTGGGTTATCCACCACCAGATGGATTCAAAACTGGCTGACCAACCACACTCAATATGTAATCCTCAATGGAACTGCATCTACATGGAGGGAAGTATGTAGGCTCTGTTTTAGGCCAGTACTCTTCAACATCTTCATCAATGATTTGGACAAGGGGATAGATGAGGACCTCATTAAATTTGCAGATGTTACCAAGCTGGCAGGAATAGCCAACACTCCAGAAGATAGGGTTAAGATACAGAAGGATCTTGACAGACTTGAACATTGGGTGCTATCTAACAAAATGAAATAGTGTAAAAAGTAATGTTCTACATTTAGTCAAGAAAAACAAAATGCACAGGTACAGTATATGTGGTACCTCGCTCAATATTAGTAACTGTGAGAGGGCTCTTGGAGTCCTAGTGGACAACCATTTAAATATGAGCCAGCTGCCAAAAAAGCCAACACAGTTCTAGGCTGCATAAACAGAGGGATAGAATCAAGATCATGTGAAGTGTTAATACCACATTATAATGCCTTGGTAAGACCACACTTGGAATATTGCATACAATTTTGGTTGCCATGATGTAAATAAGATGTGGAGACTCTAGAAAGAGTGCAGATAAGAGCAACAAAGATGATTAGGGGATTGGAGCTAAAACATATGAAGAACAGCTACAGGAACTGGGTATGTCTAGTTTAATGAAAAGAAGGACTAGGGGTGATATGATAGCAATACTTCGATATCTCAGGGGCTGCCACAAAGAAGAAGGAATCAAGCTATTCTCCAAAGCACCTGAGGGAAGGACAAGAAGCAGTGGGTGGAAACTAATCAAGGGCAGAAACAACCTATAACTATGGAGAAATTTCCTGACAGTTAGAACAATTAATCAATGTAACATCTTGCCTCCAGAAGTTGTGAATGCTCCAACATGGAAGTTTTTAAGAAGATATTGGATAACCGTTTGTCTGAAGTGGTGTAGGGTTTCCTGCCTAGACATGGGGTTGGACTAGAAGACCTCCAAGGTCCCTTCCAACTCTGTTATTCTGTTAACATAGCTCTAGCATACAAATGCTGAAGCAGCAAAAATACAGGAGAAATAGTTACTCACAGCAGAGCTACCAGAGATGGTGTTGTGGTGACTGAGGAGTAGATACTGAAGTCCTGCAGCCAGGCTGAGCTGAGTTACTCTTTACTTGTAACAAATACCTTGCCCAAACAACTGTCTAAATTCTTCATATATCAATTTTATAGTGCAAAGTTAGTGATGTTTTTGATATACTTAAAGTCATATATTTCTAACTGCATTTTGGCTGCGTTATTAAAATTTATCTTAAAGTCTTTGCTCAATCTCATGAAAAATAGGAATGAACTTGCTTTCAATAGATATGAGCATTTCCCACAAGATGGTGCTACACTCTTAGAGGGGAGGGGTGTGTATGTGTGGGGGTGGTGGAAAATTAAGCTAACCTGATATATTTGGGGCAGCAAAACAGACTGAATAAAATAAAATAAAAGTCATAATACCATTTTGCTCTTCTATTTTTATACTGTGAAATCTCCTAAGGAGAGTATGTAAGCATAAACGTTATGTGTTTGTGTCTGTATAAGGGAGCGGATGTACGTATATAAGTATTTGCATTATATATTACTATTCCATGTTCATATTATTCAGATTGCTAATATTACCTCCATCTTGCTGCATATGTGTAGCCTGAGCAAGAATTTTAGCATAGTCTTCTGGTCTTAATGTACTTTCCATAACTACCCTGAAACCAATAATTTGTGATACATAATGTAAGTGAGCATTTCAGCTTTTAGCTTGACGCTTGAAAAACAACTCTGAAAGTTTTTACCCATCAATGGTGTCTCCACCTAATTTTCAGATTCATTGTTTTGGCTGTTAGGGGAGGGTAACAGACTTGGTTGTTGGTAACGTTAATTGTTAATATCTTCTCATTGTAATAATTGTGATAGTTATAGTAATAGTGATCCCAATGCTCTTGTAAGACCCCCTGAGCTCAAGAGCAAAATTACTGCATCATTAGCATTCAGTAATACACTAATATTTTTTGAGGGATTGCTTCTCCTGATTATATCTATCCATCCATCTAACCTGGCAGAAGAGACATGCTGCAGGCTTTTTCTGCTGTGGTACTAGTCTTTTGGAACACCCACCCAAAAAGTAAGTTTGACTCCATCCCTGTTGATTTTCTCAAAATCCTTCAAAATTTGTGTATGCTGTTGGCTTCAGGAACCCAGGAGACAGGTGAGGTACTTAGCTCTATTATTATTGATGACTGCTGATCTTTCTTATGTTTTAAATGTGATTTTTAAATTTTTTATGTTAGTTTTTGATATGTTAACTGTTTTATAATTTTATTGCATGGCATCCACACCATCTTTTCATGAGATGGGCAGCCATATACATTTGATGAATGGATGGGTGAATGGGTGGGCTCACTACTCAAGTAAGGTGTCAGGGAATTTACTTACCTAAAACCTACTAAGTATTTCTCCCTAAGGAAAATAATATCACCTACCAAGAAACCGAATTCGTATTCATGACCTAACACCTACTCACTGCAGTAAGTTAGACATATTTATTACTTACGGATAAGCAGTTCTTTCTTTTTGAACTTCATAATAAATGACTAGTCATCAACTTCAGAATAAATGACTAGTCACCATGGTCAGTTATGATCGTCTGGTCAGGTTTTGTGTCATGAATGAAAGTCATCAACAGATAGGAATGTTTAACTTTTTTGAAGAGTGACTTGAAGATACAAATGTACTGAGATATTATTGTATGTTTAATTACAATTTGATAATGTTTTTGTCAATTAAAACTATTTTGGGCCTGAGGAAGACAAAAAGCATAGCCAGTAAATATTTATTTCAAATAAATAGAAAAATATATAGATACAAACATACAAACTGCTACAGCCACATAAAACAGGATGTACAGAGCTGTTTATGTCACACAGCCTTGAGAAGAAAATTAGCAGAAGCAAATAAAAGATGATTATATTGTCCCAGTTAACTAACAAACAACAGATACATAATGTATTCTGAAAGTTTACTTTTAAAGTTACTGCTTTACTTTCAATTGATCTCTGTTTGGATATTTTTAAAAAACCCATGTTTGAAATTTTATCCAAGGAATTATCCACATAATATCCAGTGGTGGGTTTCAATTTATTTTACTACCGGTTCGTGTGTGCATGTGTGTGCTTGCATGATGCTTTTGCGCATGCGTAGAAGCATCCAGGCAGGTAGGCAGAGCCTCCTGTTGCCACCACATCGGTTTGCCTGATCCGGGGTGAACCGGCAGAAACCCACCTCTGGTAATATTCCAGATCAAAATGCTGAGGTTGTTCCTGATATTTCCTACTAAAATTCTTTTTTTGTGTGCCTAGACATGAGTCAGCATTCCTTACCTGTGGTTGCTGAGTAGCAGTTGGTTTCTGAGGAGATGGTATAGGTGTTTTGGATAGAAGTTGGTTCATTCTGCTTACAACAAGCTCAGTTATAAGCTGTTTGTCTTCAGCCTGGTGCTCACCAATCAAAGGGGTTGCAGAACCCATAACCTAGAAGAGATAAAAACTAGTTAGCTAAAGAAAGGTAGTAACTTTTAATGCTGTGTCCTACACCACTATGATTATTATTTATTTTGAACTGCTGGAAAAGAGGGTTAAAAAATAAAGGACTGAAAAATATTTTAGATTTTAAAAAATTCTCCTTAGCATTTAGGGTTATTAGATGGGTTGAATGCTTTGTTGTTGTTTTTTAAATATATTTTTATTATACAATTTTCTTCATTTTACATCATAATTTCATCTTTGAAACAACTCTATACCTGTCTATATCCACAATTTTGTTATATATTCCATTATATATACATTATATAGTTATCATTCTAAATATATTTTTACATTTTTGTAATATCTTATTGTTATATACTATGCTATACAACAAATATTTTTCATCTTACATTATATTTACATTTATTTCCAATTTCTAATTCCTTAATCATCTTTCATTATTAGTTTTCTAATCTTTGTATCTATTGTCAAGCCAATTATACCATACACCTGAAACTAAATAGTATTCTGTTTCTCCTTTGTCTTTGATTTCCATAGTTAGCCTATTCATCTCAGAGCAGTCTAATATCTTCTTCATTACCATTTCATCAGAGAGTATATTTCCATTTTTCCAAGTTTGAGCATATAGTCTTCTAGCCACCGTTATTACATGTAATATTAAATATTGGATTTTTTAATATATATTTACCTGATAATAGATCTAATAGGAATAGTTCCGGTTTAAACTCTATTTGCTGTTTTACCATTTCCTCTACCCATTTTTAAAATCCTCATCCAATATTATTTTGCTGAGGAACAGGTCCACCACATGTGGTAGTATGTTCCCTGTATCTTTTTGTATCCCCAGCATGATTGTTTTATTTTTTTTATGATAATAAACCTGAACTTGAATATATTAAAAGTGGATAATTCTAGTTTGGTAAATATACTTGTTAGATTGGAGTGCAGATATTGCAGTGGCTTGATTGCTGCATCAAGACTTGCAGAAAGTTTGCAGACCTGATTTGACAATGTTCCAACAACAGGTGCTTTTTGAAATGCAAATAATATGCATTACCTATGCCTCCAACATATATAAGAGATAGATTTGCATAAATATAATATATGTATAATATATACATTGACCAATGGTTACCGCTGTGTGCTTGAGGAGTTCTGGGTTTTTTTCCTCACTAATCAAGTATGAAACAGCTTTATTTGCTCAAAAATATTTGACAGAGATAATCTGTTTTATTATATTTAATTGTATTTGTCATCTGAAACTATTCTGGTATTTTCAAGATTAATAATAGTTTACAAACATTTTTATTTAATAAACACTGCTTGTAAAAGACATATGTGTTAGGTATTAGATGGAAGATTCATACAAGCTGGAAACAAGCAATGATTAATGGGAAAGTTTATTAATTTCTATGAATCAAAGTTTCTCTTGCCAACCAAAATATCTCACTTTGTTCTGAATATATATATATATATATATATATATATATATATATATATATATATATATATATATATTCCTTCAGTGCAATTTGTAAAAATTAAAAACATGTTGGATAAATGATAATGACTGATGAAATCATCCTTCTGGAATGCACCTTTAATGTGGCAAAGACGTCTCATGGGAACTAGTACAAGATTCATCAATTCAGTGATTAATCATACTTGAATGATAGACCTAGAAAGTAGTAACTATCATTTCTAACCAGCAGATCAGGAATCTACTATATACTTTCTTGCCTCTACCACAAATGAAAAACAGATTGAAGATAAAACAGTTGCATTCCCACAAAGCAGAATGACATGAACCACATTTCATTTTCTTCTAAATGCACACACACACAGAGGGGGGGGAAGGCACATGTTTTATTAATGGGCTATATTGGTTGATAAAAACCATATTACATAATATTGTAATGTAAATGTATCAGTGTACTAAACTATACATTTACTACGGTACATTGTTTTAAACAAAAACAATGGTAGTTTATTTATTTATTTTTTACTTTTTTCTCCTAATTAGAGCTGACAAAAACCAACAAAGCTCTTGAATAATATTTTTTAAATTTAGAAACCCAAATAATATAAATAATAACAATTATAATCTCTATCTATATGCTTGATAACTGTGGAATAATTTTTCAAATCTAGAGAAGCAGGACCGAACTTTGTAGCATTAATCATAATGCTCTCTATTTGCTTGGGACAAATTTAGGCCAACAAATTTGTCTGTTCCTCTCATCTAAAATCTTTTTTAACAAGTAAGTGATAAATGGTACTTTTCAAGTTTTACCAAGAAGCTTTTATTTTAAAAACAAATTTCATAATAATACATATGATGAGTGTTATGGATCTGATTAGCATTATAATTAAGAAAACATTCAATATTGCCTTTTGAGAAAATTATACATTATAAATTATGAAATAAATAGTTATAAAATGCATTGGATAAGAATGTTTTCAGGTTTGCAATTTATATTTTACATGCTAAGGATATATTTCATATGCATTTTTACAATTTTTTTTAAGAGGGCCTTCCCTTTTAGTCCACTCAAAAGTTAAAAAAAAGATTAAAAGACTTTTTAAAAATTTCTATGCATTTTGTCAGGAAATCCATGTCTGTGGCTTGGGTAGTGATCTCTGCCTAGAAAGGACAAAGTTTAAAGTTAGAAAAAGGATTTTCTCATTTGTTCAAAGTCAAGAGTCTGATCAAATTAAGTCGGATTCTGCCTTTGCTAAACAGGTGTCAGCATTTTAGGAAGGCCAGCTCAGGAAACAGACATCACAAGAAGTATTAGGATTTAGTTTTATTGTTGCAGGGTGTAATATCAGACATTTGACAGTCTGCAAGAATTTCCTTATCCATCCCTCCATCCCTCCATCCATCACATTTCTATACTGCCCATTTCACCTAACTGACTTGTCTGTCATACAGAATTTAGGCGAGGTATTTTGTGTCTCTTTCTCATGCTCCTTGTTTTCCCAGAAGATTAAAATGTTATTTATTATCTCTTTTATCTGCTAACAGCTTTTGGATACCTTTGTTAATTTTAACTTTATTTTCATTAGAAGACAGATTTATCAAGCTCACATGTATCCTAGTTTATTGGTTAAACAATCCTGAACGATTAATGTTTTCTATGAATTAAAGAATATTTATTCTATAAACCACATTTAACTGACCTGAGTAGCATACATCAATATATAGCACAGGAAAGTATATTTTATGTCTTTAAAAGGATATATAACTATATTCTCAATTTCCCTTTTCATGTAGTGTATAATTTTGGGGGGTTTCTTTTAGGAAAGGTAACCCATAAATCCTATGCCCAAAGAACTCAGGGAGAGTTTGCTAAGAAATATGGAAATATTTTGATATTTGGCCTAACTCATAGTATGATTGTGCTTTCCCACTATGTTACCACAATATGTAGCCTTATTTGAACGTTAGCATTCCACAGGCTTTGTTTCCAACTCTAGGTTGAAGTTGAACTATTTCCTGGATGTTATTTATGTAATTTTCTCCAAGTTACCATTTTTCTTTCTTTTTTAGAATGTTATATTATTTTAAAAATTGCAAGGCACCAAGGACCTTTTTGGAATCATGAGACCTCAAAATCCACAATATAAATACTTAATTAAAAATAACAGCAGTGACAGAGAAAAACACACTTATTGTACCTCAAAAATATAATCCTTTCCATCCTTCCCATGGACTGCTTTGACAGCACATATATCCAAGCCACCAAACATCTCAGAGCAGCTATCAATCCAGAGCTTGTATCTGGAATTTGAAGACAAGTTCCCATTAGCTTAAAAGCACAATACTGTCCTAATGGAGATTCAGCTAAATGGTTTTGGTTTAGACTACTTTCAGGATATTTTGTATCCCATTCTTTAAAAAAAAATCACATAGAGCAGTAATTGGAATATTGTATATCTAAGCTGTCATACTTTTATAATATACAAATGGTTCAGTGAAGCCGCTACAACATATCTATTTTAAGCATCAATATACATTACTTGGGAGTTTAAAAATGCCATAAAGTTCTGAGATTTCCCATTAGAATATTGAAGAAAGTTTAATATGAGTGAATCAGCTCTGGGGGAAATGTATATCATGCTGTGTTTCTTATTATTATACATTTTTCATTTTTAAACTATACATCTCTTAATATATGGCCGTTCTCTTAGAACAGGGCAGTGGGCTGAATAATTACAAGATGGTTGGAGATAAAGAGAAGTTTGGGAACAAACTGTACAAATGGAAGCAGTAGCATGCATCTTATCTGTGCAGATCTGTGTTCTCAACCATCAGTTTGCTGAAATTCAATGGAAATTTACCGCACAAATAAAAAGCTACATTTTTGCTCCAAATGAGCCTGATGTTTGCTGCTGCTGACCCCAGAGTTATACACCTGGTACTGCTTTGTGGTTCTCAATTTATCTGAATCTGTCTCCAGAGTAGAATTTATGAATAAGGGAAAGTGACACTATACTGAGAGTTGTTTTCGTTTTGGATTCATGCCTGTACATAAGAGCTTTTAAAAGGACTGTCTTCAAACATCTTGACTCTTCTGGTCATAGAGTTATTGTTTGACAAATAAAACCAATGAAATATTTGGGAAATATGTTCCAAGATATGCAGAAATAGATAGGCAGAAATAGTACACTACTGTATGTAACGAGCTGTTGCTTTTTTCATTGTCTTCTTTTTGGAGAATTGATTAGGTGAGATTTCTTTAACCTGGACTAGACATCTGCCTGAAAGACTAACTGGGGAAGAATTTTTGGGCTCATAATTCCTAAATGCTATTTTGGGTTAGAATTGTTACTCTTCCTTTGCAGAATTTATTGAGTTTTTATATTCACATGACATTCTGGTCCCATTAGGGTAACAGTGTCATGCAAATCCAGGCATAATTTTATGCTTCAGTAGAAAAAAATACCCAGGTGATTTTGTAGCATGCTTAGATTTTTTTTTAAAAAAAATAACAATAAGACACCATAGTATTTATTCTGATATTATGAAACTTCCCCAGAAGAAGTGTTTCGGAACACGTGACCCCCAAAACACCTCTTTTTGAATTGCTAACGCTGCCGCAACTACTTCATATTCAAGCAGTTGTTTCTGAATCTCTGTGTGTACATGCTTCTGAAATGGCCCTACCATCTCTACAGTTTCCATAGGTTCTGATTTCAATAGAAACAGAAAATTATGAAAAGAAAAAAACTAAAAAACAGAGAAAGTAAAAATAAAAACTCTCGAGTAAACAATTTACAGAAAGATTTATTTACCTGTCTGTCATAGCAATTTGTTCTAACATTGCAGATCCTGTGTTTGTCTTCCAATTTCCAGATATAGAAGTTCTCCTGTGGAGAAATAGAAATGCTAAAGAAGCACATAAGTCTTTTCAATTTAATTTTGTTAATCACTGTGCATTTATTAGGAAAAAATGCTTTCCAATACAACTGTAAAATATAAAATAAAAAAATCCTGAATAAACAAAAGTATGTAATTTGATTTGATCAAGAAAGAAGATACTGAAAAATAGCTTTCTGCATTGAATAAACTTGTAGTCATTTTAACAATACAAAGGATCAACTTAAGAATTTAAGTTCAGGAAACCTATTTTAAAAGAGAAAGCATTCCTGTTCAACCTAAATAGATATCTTAATATGACAGATAGTTGGCATTGTGTCAATAATTATATAATTACATAAAAACTATATGATTAATCAATACACAATGATATCTGAATCTTTAACCAGTATTATAAATAAAACCTGTGTGCTTCTGCACTGTATTTTTAGGTAAAAATTATATTGTGAACATGTAGAGAGTTTCCTATAGCCAAGGTGGCGCAGTGGTTAAATGCAGCACTGCAGGCTACTGCTAGATCAGCAGGTCAGCGGTTCAAATCTCACCGGTTCAGGGTTGACTCAGCCTTCCATCCTTCCGAGGTGGGTAAAATGAGGACCCAGATTGTTGGGGGCAATATGCTGACTCTCTGTAAACCACTTAGAGAGGCCTGAAAGGCCTATGAAGTGGTATATAAGTCTACTGCTATTGCTATTGCTACTGCTATTAATGTCTGCTTTTGTGGTGTTTGTTTTTTACACTGTGCCATTTCCTTTAAGTGCATAATGCAATGCCCACATGTATATATCTTTAAACATCACAAGCGCTCTGAAATTGGGAATTCCCAACTACCTGTAGTTTAGTCAACTGGATATTAATTAATTATCATGTACGTAAGCAGCAGAAGATTGCAGTACCAGAGATTTTGAAAACAGCATTGAAGCTGTCAAGGCAGCTTATATTTCCTTTGCCACTTCTTAAACTAGTAGGTCTTTGTGCTAAAATCTCAAGTATCCAAAACAGATTAAAATCTGTTATGGAACATAAAGCTCCTGACTAAACATATCAAAATAATGTTGATTTGTAGTATAACTATGATTCAAGTATTTTAATATTTAATATGATTTAACTGTAAAAGCTAAAGGATTTTGTCTCAAAGTTTCTAATGTCTCATCCTTTGAGAAGATGTACTAAAAATAAATTTTAAATTAAATTAAATGTATTCATATTTATGTTTGAAAAATGTAAGGTAAAGATTCTCCCGCACATACTGTATGTGCTAGTCGTTTCTGGCTCGAGGGAACAGTGCTCATCTCTGTTTCAAAGCTAAAGAGCTAGTGCTGTCTGAAGACGTCTCCACGGTCACGTGGCTGGCGAAGGTTCATTGGGCGCTGTTACCTTCCCACCAAAGTGGTTCCAATTTTTCTACTTGCATTTTTATGTGCTTTCAAACTGTTAGGTTGGCAGGGACAAGTAATGGGAGCTCACTGTTACACGGAACTAGGAATTCGAACCGCTGAACTGCCGACCTTCTGATTGACAAGCTCAGCATCTTTAGCCACTGAAAAATGTACCAAATATCAAATAACAATCCCAAGACTATATTATGTATAAATATGAAACAAAAAACCCCCTAGATAAATAGACTACTCAGACAGTACTGTCTCACAAAACCATTTTTCTATAGTATCCCTAACAGATGGCCATCTAGCCTTTGCTTAAACATCTCAACTGGCAAGCCTGCCATTTCTCGTGGTAGTCTGTTGCAGTTTCAATTAACACAACTCCCCTCCCCCCCGATAGCCAACATAAATCTTTTTTTTTTGAATATATACTTACGGTTTCTTATCTTGCCTTCTGAAGTAACACTGAATAATTCTGTTCCATTTGCTACATGCCAACTTATCAGATAGTGAAAGAGAACTATCATGCCCACATATTGGAGAATATGACAATACCTTTGGATTTATATTATGTCTATACACTATTTATTTTATTGTTGATTGATTTTATGATGGGCAGCTATAAAAATCAAATAAATAAATTGTTCTTTTGCAATTGCTTTATGGTATATTATTTTCTCTGTTGAATACTACTGAAATTCATTTGGATTGTTTTAAATTAACTAATTAAATTTTAATTTTAATATAAATTTGAAAAATACAGAATACATAAATAAAATATTGGAAATTATATTAAATAATGTTTTCATGTTTGTTCAGAATGCCTCTTATTCTCACTCTATTTTAAAATATTTGTTTGAAAAAGGAAAGATTCAGTTCATATTTCTGAATAATTTAAATATATTATTAGAACTGATGATTGTCAGTTCTGCTAAAGAAAACAGATTACCTACTTTTCCTAAAACAGAGTAAATAATGTTCATTCAGTCTCAATATGGAAGAACAACAATATCATACAATCCCAGAATCTAATTGCTCACATGTAGGCTTTATAGTTGTTTCCAATCTTTTGGATCCTGATGTCATATTTGGAATCTATGTAGGGTTCAGTGGTAGCATAGGTTTGGGTAAGGGCTACCACACTGGCTATATCCTGAAAATCATAATGGTTGTCTACTTTGACCTGTTTTCAGCATCCAAAGGTATTTTGCATATGGAAAAAGAAGAAGAAAAAGGAATAAGCAACAATTAAATTTCTCAGCAAAATGGACACAGTATTTCTAAGCATAATAGATTTTTAAGAGAAATACATTACTAGTCATTCTTAACTACCAATAACAATTGAGGCTTGATAGGATATTTAATTATCTGTCTGCATCGGTCTCCTCCAAGTTCTACATTTATACTACAATCATCCATAGACAGGAATTGATTGTTTGAGGGGCAGATGTGGGCTATAATACAATGCAACCCATCTGGAAAGCAGCAAGTTGGAAAATCTTTTTACATATAATTTTTCAGACAGATTATATATTCTATGTAAAATGAAGACATTCCTGTTTATCCTGTCATATGTGATATTCCATGATATTCCATAAATAAAATTACCCTGAAAAACAATTTTTATAAGTTTGTCCCAAAGTAAAATCAATTCGCTGGGACCTGACAAATTATAGAACTAATATACAATATACAAAATTTTTCTACTTTTGAAACAAAGCATTTTCTTCAAAGAATTTTTACAATTGAAAGTGTCTTTCAGCTTATGATTTGAGTTTTATGAGTTTTTAAACTTGTGCTCAAGGGACTAACAGGCAGTATATACCTAAAATTAAGCAAATACTAAGGGACAGACACCATATCATAAAAATTTCCATAATAATTGCTTGAAATTTTAATCTTTTTTGTTGGAGAGTTTGAATTGAGCAATATTTACATAACCATCTTCTAAAAATCATTTGTTATCTTTCCCCAAGATATATAAATAAAGCATGATCACCTTTCCCATGCCTGAATGAGCATGTCCAATTTTCACAACAACAGGAAATGTTGGCAATGTCAGCTGGGGAAACGAAAGAAAAGAAAAGTAAGGAAAAGAAAAGAAAGAATTAAAATAGTTACATAACCAATAGATAATTCATTATCAAGTTCATGTTTCTCTGTGGATAAAAAGGTTGCATTAGAAGCCTTTTGAAATGCCACGTATTCTCCAAAGCACATGAGGGCAGGACAAGAAATTATTCTTATTTTCCAGAAGTGTGTGAATGACTAACCTTTCTTTTAAAGTTCAACAAGCATTTTGCTGGCTGTACTACAATTTGGAAGGCTTAAGATATTTGAGCTACTAATCCATATTTATTTTCTCCATTTTATTTATTGTTAAATTTAATGAATGAAATGATAATAATTTGTAGAATATGATGTGTGTGTGGGTGTGGGTGTGTGTTATGTTTAGTACGGAGAAAATGTGATTTCTTTTCTTTCTTTTGGCCCGTGTACGCAGACATAGACAAACAAACACAATCTTAAACTGGAACAAAACTACTGCTGCTTGCTGAATGAATTTACTGCATTTATGTAATTACTAATTATACAATCATAATAAATATGGCAGAAATCTTGCCATTCACAAATGATAGTCTGTATAATCAGCATAATGGTGTGATGAAAAATATATAGACAGCAAAAGATTACAAACTAGAACTGAACTCTATAAATTGTAAGTCGCCCTGAGTCCCCTCAGGGAAAAGGGCGGCCTATAAATAATAATAAACTAAACTAAAACTGAAAATAAGCCACACTGTTTACTCAGATAACGTATGAAATGGAAAATCTGATTTACAGTATACCCACACAGGTGCAATTTGCTAAATATCCCAGAATTGAATATTGTTCTAAAGTGCTTTCCCAACCATTGCTGACAATGACTTATAATAATTAAAGTACATTTCTTCTGATATAAGAAATCTCTCATGTTTCACCAATAATATGGCTTTTTGGCTTAAAGAAAGGAAAAACAGTTCCCATGTCAGGAACCTTAAAAGTTACTTAAGATAAATATATTTTCAGAATGGAGTGCCAGAGGATTTCTGTGCCCAATAGAAATTGGGCACAGAAATTAAATTGCTGCTTGCTCTAAGAGGAAATTGGATCGTCATTAGCAAATTTAGGAGGGGGATATATATTAAACAGCGAAAGAACATTTTCTTCAAGCTGGCCAGTCATCCAGGTGTGTTTCAAGCAGCATGACTCCTCTACTCAATTCCTTGCTATTTCCACCACTGCTCCTTCTAACCCTCAGTATTCAGGATCTGACTGAAGCTTGCAACTGTCGCCCAGCTCATCCACAGGAAGAAATATGTGAGTCTAATATTGGTGAGTCACGAATCATCTATGTTTTTTACTGGACAAACTAGCAGAACAGTTTAGAGACGTGATTAGCTGTATGCTCACAACTCTGCAATGCACTAGGATCCATATCTCAGAATGAAAATCAGCACTGTAAAACACGAATTTCAAAAGCATGTAAAAGTTTGGAATTCTCTGTTTATCATCTTTATCTCTAATAATTTATTGGACTTGCTATATTGAATTTATTTTCAGTAATCTATGGAATGATATGTACTAGAACTGTTTCTGCATATTGCTAACATTTAATATATAAGTAAACATGAATAGGGGTCATGTAATATGCATGCTGTACATATGATAACGGTAAAATAAAGTACACATTTACAATTATAATCTGCTTCTTAATTATCTTAAATCAAGGATTTATCAAGTTCCTTTCAGCTGATTTAAACTTCACAGTTGAATATTTTTACAACATATACTAGACATTCTATGAGTCTTTTTTTCCTCCCTATCTCTGTTTAGATATGGGACTTTGTTAATTATTTATTTATTTTTTATTTATTTATTTATTTATTTATATGTTAATTCATGTTGCTATATGTTGCATACTAAATACAATATACAGCATGGTATATACTATACTATTTATAGACAATCTCTCTCTCTCTCTCTCTCTTTCTCCTTGCCAAATATATAATCCGCGTATTTTCCATTATGAATATATTAAAAATTTACACTGTGATAATCCAGAATTATCCCAAATGCGACATTTTGTCATTTTATCAATTCAAGATATAGCTTCTATTCAGAATTTTTAGGATTTTTTTAGGATTTTATTGAGGATTTATATGCCGCCCTTTTCCCTGAGGGGACTCAGGGCGGCTTACAACAATGA